TTTAAAATTTTCTTAATATATGGCGGCGGAGACAAGCATGAGTCGTGACTCATACATATCCAATGATCCCGTGCATAACAAAATGTCATAAATCTAGAAAAAATCATTTTAATATTAATTTTGCCATTATAATTGGGAGGGGGCAAATAACAAAGAAGACAAACCACGAATCTCGATTAAGATATAGTTAAATTAATAAAAATAAAAATACCATTAGAATTTATTTATTAGGTCGGATGATAAATGAAATAAAGTTTGAAAATTACTTAATATTATCTCATAGTCGATTTAATTATCTTATAGTCAATTTAATGCCCGATACTCTAATTGGTCATCTCACTATCTTATTCTATAAACTATAAATATAATAATCTCACATAAAAATAAATAAACAATATAGACATATATTAGTGAATGAAATGAAATACTAATTACTCACTCAAAAATAGACAATTACCACCTACACAATTCCATTATACTTAAAAATAATAATAATAGATAGTAATAATATAATTATTTAAATTAAAAATTAGACTTTTAAAAGAAAATAAATATATTTAATGAATCGACTTTGTCAGATAGTAAAAAAATGTTTAAATATTTTTCCATTTACGGGTAAAATTTACATTCCACCTTAATATATAATATATATGGTTGACCGTTAGGTTCCTTCTAATTTCATTTTGTTTAAGTGGATATTTAGTATTATTTATAATTTTGTAAAATTTTAATATTTTAGTTATAATTAAATATCAACACAATTTTTAATGGAGCCACTATTTATGTAGCTATTTTTGTCTTTCCTTTAAATAAATGTAGCTGAAAATGTCTATGGATTCAAACCTTCGGCCCATGAAAAAGTTCAAAAGCCCATTTTCACGTTAATAGAAGCTACACTAAATTTGTCCCACATCGAAAACACTGAGATGGAAAGAGGTTAGATGCATTATATAAAGAAAGGAACTAGGGCCTTAGAAACATACTTACCTGGACGGGGTCAATGGGCGAACAGTAAGGCCCATGGCCTTGGTTGGTGACCTCCATTGCACTTAGGAGGGGTGCCCGCCTAAGGTCTTCCCAAAGTGGCAGAGCCTACGTCATAATTTGTGGCAGTGGGGGCCTGCGTTCGCGCGGCCCCTCTAATATCAGTATTAGAACACGTTCTGCTTCTCGTGCTTAAAATGTAACTGATTCTTGAATATCTATTTTAAATCCTATAAAACGCTCATAAATTTTTGATTCTATCTTCTCTGTAAGTTTCGTTATAGTGAAGTCTTAATTCACTCGCAGGCTTTTTCTTGTTTATAACATCTGTTCCCGGGAATTGAGGGAAGTGAATATTTTGAGTTTTAGTCAACCACCAACCGAACTCGAATTATAGGTTACGGCTTAGTTATTCATCGTCTTCTACTGAGTGAGGTTGCATACGATTCATGCCGGTTTCTTACAGAATCCGCGGAAGGTTTGAGATTCTACTCCCTCCTTAACCATTTTTGTTCATCAGTTACTCTGTTCGATCGTTTTTTTCTTATTTTCATTTGCTGTTTTTCGTCACGGAAGTGCATTTCTGTTCTTGGACTTGAAAATTCCCTAGGTTTGCTCAGGGAGTGTACTACTGGAGTTCGATGTATATTTTTTCTTGCGATTGCGAATTTCTCGTAGTGCGCATTTAATTGTTCGTTGGACTAGTAAATTTGCGGAGCAAATCGGTCTCGTGTTTGCAACTGCAGAAAAAGTATACACAGATACTTGTGGATATCTTTTTTGGTCCTCTGAAACTTGAGTGTTTTTGTTCATAGGCAAGGTAATATTCTTGCTTGCTTTTCTGCAATCGGCATTTTTATTATTTAGCGTATCGTTGCCCAGGCTTTAAATTTTACTTCTGCGGCAATGGTAGTCTCTGTACGTCTGACGTCTGTGGGAATAAATTATGCAATATTCCATACGGAGGAAAAAACCGGCTTACTAAGGCATCTACATACCAAGCTTGGTTGCTTTAGGAAAAACTAAGCATAAAATGATTTCAACCTAGAAAGATCAATACCCTCTGCTAATTGCAACTTTCAGGTAATCAAGAATTTATTCAGGCAGTTGTTTTACTATTCCATTGTATGGTGGAATTTGAGACTGAGAGGGACATTTTCTGAATTCAGTTTTATCAACAACAAATTTCTTCATCGATATTCTCCTTGAAGAATTATGGAATTATGGAATTTGTACAGTAGAAACTAAGAAGGACGAAGAAATGACTAGGAAAGCAAGAGCTCATTTAGTGTATGTGTCCCTTTCAAGGCAAAGAAACTGATAGCAAAGAAAAAAGGTGTATTACTTGGTTGTGTGATTGATTGAATCCCATCTCTTTTTTTTCTTTTATGTGTACTATTCCCCCTTTTACCAGCTTTTTTTGGAGAAAAGAATGTGGAAATGAGACCAGAGGTAGGCATTGGTTTGCTTTTTTCTTTTGGAATTGAGGGTCTGCTTTGTGTGATGTGGTGTCTGTGTTCTTATTAACTCCCTTCTTTTGGGGTATCAATAATCTCTGCATTCTGCAATAAATAAACGATCAACGGTTGTATTTTGGAAGGAATGGTCCATCTTTGAAAACAAACCTATTATCTTAGCTTCTTTAATGCGTGCTTGAGTTTGATAGCCTGTTTCATTAGTTTGCAATCTTAGTTTGTGCAATTCCTGCTTCTTCTGGGAGAGGCATCAATGACAGCGTTAAGAAGTTGTTCATAGAGTATCACCCCTTCAACATATCTCTCTCATACAGTTGGGACAAGCAAACTAAGGTGTGGAACTATTAGAGAGAGGAGCGAGTGCCAGCGAGGATGCTGAACTTTGAAAGGGGTGGATTGTAAGATCTCACGTCGATGAGAGAGGGGAACAAAACATTCTTTATAAGGGTGTGGAAAACTCTCCCTAACAGACGTGTTTTAAAAACGGAGAGAAAGCTCGAAAGGAAAAGTCCAAAGAAGACAATATCTGCTATCGGTGAGCTTGAGCTATTACATTCCGAGCTTCAAATGTTCGTTCCACCCTTCCTCTTCTTTTCTCACATGCAGAAAGAAACTTGTATCAGGAAAACCAGGTTGTTGCTTGACTACATGTCTTATGTTGGAATTGCATATGAAAGCTGGCTGTGTGGTGCACTTAACATGCTATTATGGTTGCCTAGTAATGTTGTGTTTCTGGTTTCTTTCTCTTTGTTTCGGGTTGCTTAAGTAGTTTGGGGTTGTTTTCTGCCTGCTCAAAAAGATTGATAACTGGCTTTCAGAGATGCTTGATGGTAGTTTCGTTGGCGGCAAGGTAAAAGTCCTTCGCCGTTGTGCAACACGTTCCCTTCTTTCGAGTTCTTGGATGAGAAAGGACCATATGAAATCTCATATCAACTGGAGAAGATAAGAGTGTGAAAATCTCTTCTTAGTAGACGCATTCTAAAACCGTGAGGCTAATAACAATATGTAACGGACCAAAACAGACAATATCTATTATCGGTGAGTGTAGCCGTTACGGACAACTAGGATTTTGAAGATAAAGACAGCTCCTTTTATGTCTTTTTGCAACACAGTGCCTCTTGGCGGTGCACAAATCATACTGAATTCCTTTGTAGTTTCAGCCTTCTAATGATTATTAACAAATGGAAGGCTCTTCTTAGCTCCCCAACTTTCCACGATGAGTCAATATTATTCTACACCAAAAAAATCATCGAAACTCTCAACCTATAGTCCATTGTTTGAATATTAGAATAGGCAAATAAATTATTCATGGAGATACTGTTTACAATGTACATTTAATTGGAATTCCAAACAGTGGTATTAGAATACTATTGCAGAGTAGTGCATTATTGAAGCATCCTCTGTAGCTTCGTAATTAACTATTAAGAGTAGGGCAACGTGAAGGAAACAAAGGCTTAAATTTGCTATGTTTGTTCTTATGGAGTCTTGTCTACTAAACAGTACCCAACAACTGATTCCCTCTCGTTTTTTAATTCAACCAGATTCTCTTTTTTTATTTTTGAGCTATTTCTGAATGCATGGACAGAAAGTATAATAGACGATCCAGCTCAAGTCATTCATGAGGGCCACAGTGTTTTGACTGTTCACATATCATTATTTTTTATTGCTTTTCGTAGGTCTAAAACATCATTATTGCTAACTCCACCATTAATGGCTTCTACTTCTGTCTTCTTTTGGCCCGGGGGGTCACAGTGAAAAACACAATCACATCCATTGCTTGGTACTAATTAACTGGGCTGTCCTTTGGTTAGAATCTAGATTTTATGGCCTATCTACTACCCATTCTATATCACTACAATGTATTCATAGGACTAATGTATCTTACTTTTGTTGGTTGGTATTTTATCACTACAATGTATTCATAGAACTCATCTCTTTTGTAGAACTCATCTCTTTTGTTGGAGCGGATAACTGCTAAAAGCATCTCAATAAATTGTCCTTTTCATTTTGGGGGTGATGGAGGGATCGTACCATTTAAGTCTTTTTTTTCCATTCCAGTGTCCTGTCCGACCTCTATCTTTTTCCTTATGTATCTATGACTTTGATTGAACTCTACCCATTCAAAATCCACTAAGAAAAATGTACATAAAAAAAAAAAACTCTTTGTCCCTCTCTATAAGAGTAAAAGCCTGCTAGCTTTCCCTTCAAGGGTTCCTCTCGAGATTTTAGACTAAATTAGGGAGAGGTTTCCACACTTTTATAAGCAATGTTTCGTTCTCCTCTCCAATCGACATGGGATCTCATGGTCCACCATCCTTGAGGTCGTAGTGTCCTCGCTAGCACACTGACTCTGATACTATTTGTAATAGCTCAAACACACCGCTAGTAGATATTGTCCTTTTCGGACTTTCCCTTCAAAGACTTCTGCTCAAGGTTTTAAAATGTGTCTACTAAGAAGAAGTTTCCACATTCTTGTAAGAAATATTTCGTTCTCCTCTCCAACCGACGTGTCATCTCACAGTGTAAGTTTCTACATTCATCAAAACTATTTCTCCACGTCATTTCAACGTGTGAGATTATGATCTTTGCTTCATTCTCCAAGTCATTGACTCCTTATTTTTAGATAAAGATTATTTCTCCAATGGCAAAGAAAAAAACAATCATTTGGAAGACACATAAACCTCGTTGGTAAATTAGTTTGCTCGTTTTCCAATGCAGAATATTTAGATTGAAACCCCAACAAAACAGATACATCCAAGTAGTTAATTAGGTGTAGCCATTAAGAATGTTTCTGAATAAGAGAGACGTATTTCCTGTTGAACGATATGAATAAGTTGAGTTGAGCCTTATGATCTTGATCAGCAGCAGCAGCACTTGTATTATTTTTCCCAAAGATTATGAGAACCAGTTCAGGTGTGTTCAACTTTGGTCCATTCATGAGACCACCCCTTTCCACTTGAAGTTATCATAAGCTACAGGTAAATTCTTCTGTATCAGCAACAATAATCATTATGTGTTCTTAAATTGATCATTACCCCCACAAAAGAAGAACTTAAGGTGCATTTTTCCTGTGATTTGATTGACTTAGACTTGTAATGACTTTCCTTGTCAGGTCAAGCAAAGCCTAAAATGTTGGCTGATCCGACCGAAAGCCAAGAAAAATGGGGATCAAATTGCTGTTATCATTGTCGCCATAGTTGGAACATCCTTTATTCTGCGTTTCAAATACTTAAAAAACCGAAGGTAACATGCATCACACCATGTGGCATCGAGCCCTGTTCTTATTCTTTTTAAAGTGATTCAGGCTTGGTTCATGTATTATTATTATGGCTAACCACTCAGCTTCTACTTTTCTCTGTGTATTGTCATTTGTCTTGAGGACTGTTTGGTGATGATAATCCAAATCACAAACTATTGTTGGATACTCAGAAGCAAATTGAATGTCAAAATCAGGTACCATTCACCCTCTTTGATTATACATATTCTGTTGCCTTTCACTTGTTTCCCACTGTTTCATACTGCTACAAATGGACCCACAAAACTTCCAATTTTGGCTAAACAACTTCCACTCATTTTTGTCTTTTCCAGATAATTATTGGTTAAGCTTATTCACACAAATGAAAAATTAGTATAATTTATACAAAATTCGAATTAATTTGTCTCAACCTCTTTCTTTTTTATTTATTTATTTATGAAAGATTCTTAAAATATTGAAGTATTTGAAATTTTATAGAGTTTAAGGATATAACTAAAATTTTCAATTCATGTGTTATTTATTAATAGTCTCAATTTATGGTTGGTTTCAAATTAAACTTCATTTCGAAGTTCATTTTCCCTCTTAAAATTTAATTGTATCGTATTTAGATGAAAAATACATTTCTTTCTTTGTGTAAAAAAAATTGAAGAATATTTCTCTCTTTCATGATAGAAATGAAGATATGATGGTTCATATAAAATGAAGCCAATATCTATAATTGTGGGTCATATTTGCTCTCTAAGTTAGAATTGATTACAAATCATTTCATTAAAAAAGTGTGAAGTACAAACTCTTATTAAGGTATAATGAATTGACTAGTCTTAGTTTATTTATGTCCCAAAAGTTAATACTTATACAATTAATAAAATAGATATCTTTTTTCCGTTTGAACAAAAATAATCAAACAAGTTTATTACTGGTTCAAATTTAAAATTTATTATTTTCGGTTAAACAAAAGGTAGAAATAGAAAGATTCAAACTTTTAAATATTTTATTGATACAACCTAGATCCACAAATAATAGATATTGCATTTTTTGAGTTTTTCTTTTAGGTTTTAAAAACGGGTCGGCTAAAGAAAGGTTTCCACACCTTTATAAAACATTATTCTCCCCAACATTAATGTGGGATCTCATAATCCACCACCATTTGGGGCTCAACGTCCTCTTTGGCACTCGTTCCCTACCTCAATCGATGTGAGACCCACCAATCCACCACTATTTGGGGCCAAGCATCTTTGCTGGTACACTGCCTCATATTCATCTCTTTGAAGCTCAACTTCTTCATTAGCAAATTGTCCGGTGTCCGATTCTAATATAAAAGAGCAACATCAATATTGGCTAAGGATTAAAGAAAGGTACCTTTTTCATTATTTTATTCCAAAGAGATCCTAGCTTTTGGTTTACTAGATCATGAAAACAAACAATTCCCATAGCTCATGAGTAGGGGTAGAGAGATAGAGATACCAAGTCCATCCCAATCCCATGCGTCCAAGTTTCCAACTTTACACCATAACCTATACCCCACCCTCCACCCTTTTCCTTTCCAGATATACAAACCAGCATAAAACCTCCATCAGGCCCAGACATATTGAACCTTAAGGAACTAAACCCTTCTCTCTCTCTCTCTCTCTCTCTTCTTTCTGCAACAGCAACTACAGTCCCAGCAGAGACTGAGATACCTTTCAGTGCATATAAAGAAATAAAAAACACAGCCTCTTTCTCTCTCACTGTTGTATTTCAGCACTGCTCTTTCTCATTCTTGCGCATGAAACCATCTCACTCTTAATCGCATCATGGAACAGTCAGAACACCCTAATGCTACCAGCAAATGCAACAACAAAACTGGGAGTTTCAAACCCAGGATTAACCCTCATCACCACCACCACCACCACCACCATGTTCATCACCAATATCAGCATCACCAGCTATGGCAGTACTCAAATCAATATGCCTTTTGTAACCAAAACCACTTCCAAACATGCTATCCTCTTATTCTTCCCCTTCCCCTTCCTCTTCCTCCTCCTATTCCTCTGCAGCTCGCACTAGCTCCTCCGCTTCCTACTAATAGAGCCACTAGACCAAAACCCCACTCGCAGAAGCCTTCCTGCAAGCTCAATAACCCTCCTCTTGCGGCCACCGCTGATACCCATGTCCCAATATTAAAGATTTCCCCAGGTAAAACTCTATGGAAACCCTTGGTTTTTTCTTTTTTCTTCTCTGTTTTCCATGATTATGGAAACCCTTGGCTTCTGCATTTCCACAGTTCTTGAACTGGGTGGGGATTGTAACCATTCTGACATTTTTTTGTTATGTTTTTGTTCCTTGAACACGTGCATTCATTCAGCTTCAAAAGGGCTTCGACTGAAAAGCAGTTTACCACATAAAGGAGGAAATGGAAAGGTGAGTGAAAGTAAACCAGAGGTATTAGTGGCTGCGAGTAGACCAGATTCTGGAGGTGTAGAAGGGCCTGTTATTCCTCTTTTAGCCAACCATTTCTTAGTCAAATTTGACCCTTCTCAACGAATTTACCATTACAATGTAGAAATCTCTCCTAACCCTTCAAAAGAAGTTGCCAGAATGATCAAACAAAAGCTTGTAGAGGAGAACTCGGATTTGCTCTCTGGGGCCTCCCCTGCCTATGATGGCCGCAAGAATCTTTACAGCCCAATTGAGTTTGTACAAGATAGGCTTGAGTTCTATGTCAGCCTTCCAATTCCCTCCAGCAAAATGAAAGTTCCTGGAGGAGAGATTCAACATAAACAAGAATTCAAACTCTTCAGGATAAGCATTAAACTTGTCTCGAAATTTGATGGGATGGAACTGAATAGATACTTAACTAATGAAGGAGATGATTGGATTCCAATTCCTCAGGATTATCTTCATGCTTTAGATGTTGTAATGAGGGAAGGTCCAAATGAGAAATGCATCACTGTGGGAAGATCTCTGTATTCAAGTTCAGCATGGGGAGCCAAAGAAATTGGGGGAGGCGTTGTTGGTTTGAGAGGCTTTTTCCAAAGCCTTAGACCCACTCAGCAAGGCTTGGCTATGAATGTAGATTGCTCTGTCACTGCTTTCCATGAAAGTATTGGAGTTATTCCTTATTTGCAGAAGCGTCTTGATTGTCTTAGAGACCTTACTCAAAGGAAGACAAGAGGCCTAAACATCGAAGAAAGGAGAGAAGTGGAGAAGGCTTTGAAGCATATCAGAGTTTTTGTTTGTCATAGAGAGAGTGTTCAAAGATATAGAGTTTATGGCCTAACAGATGAACCTACTGAGGGTCTCTGGTTTGCTGATAGGAATGGGAAGAATCTAAGATTGGTGGGGTACTTCAAAGATCATTACAACTATGATATTCAATACAGGAATTTGCCTTGTTTGCAGATTAGTAGGAGTAAGCCATGTTATCTTCCTATGGAGCTTTGTATGATTTGTGAAGGACAGAAGTTTCTCGGGAAGCTTTCGGACAAACAGACCGCAAGAATGCTTAAGATGGGCTGCCAGAGGCCAAAGGAAAGGAAAGCTAATATAGATGGTGTCATGCAAGGTCCTCTTGGGCCAAACAGGTTAATTTTGAAGCTCCTCAGAGAATTTGCTATGGAATGTTGTTTGATTTTCATATTCACTTTCTGATAATGTTTTCTTTTGGCTGACAGTGGCATCCATGGACGAGAATTCAGCCTCGAAGTTTCAAGGGAAATGACCAAATTAAATGGAAGAGTTCTTCAACCTCCCAAGTTAAAGCTTGGCGACGGTGGCCAAATTCGTGATCTTATTCCCTCCCGTCCCGACCGCCAGTGGAACCTCGTTGATTGTCACGTTTTCGAGGGAACAAGAATTGAGAGATGGGGATTAATAAGTTTCAGCAGTAGCCCAGATCAGAGATTGAGCATTCCAAGATTCATTAACCAGCTCTCTAGAAGATGTGAACAATTAGGCATATTTCTCAACAGTAAAACAATCGTCCCTCCTCAATTTGAACCAACACAAGTGCTTAACAGTGTCTCACTGTTAGAATCTAAGCTTAAGATGATCCATGGAGCTGCATCTAACAATCTTCAGCTCTTGATCTGTGTGATGGAACGAAAACACAAAGGCTATGCAGATTTGAAACGCATTGCTGAGACGAGCATTGGCGTTGTAAGTCAATGCTGTCTCTATCCAAATCTTGCCAAGTTAAGCTCCCAATTTTTGGCTAACTTGGCTCTTAAGATTAACGCCAAGGTTGGTGGTTGCACTGTTGCTTTATACAATTCATTACCTTCCCAAGTACCTCGCCTGCTTCAAACCGACAAGCCTGTGATCTTCATGGGCGCCGATGTAACTCATCCCCATCCCTTGGATGATTTTAGCCCCTCCGTAGCTGCTGTAGTTGGTAGCATGAATTGGCCAGCAGCAAACAAGTATGCCTCAAGAATGAGATCACAAACACACAGACAAGAAATTATTGTCGATCTTGGCGCAATGGTCGAAGAGCTGCTGGAGGAATTTTATCAAGAACTGAACGAACTACCACGGCGAATCATATTTTTCAGAGATGGTGTGAGTGAAACACAGTTCTACAAAGTTCTACAAAAGGAATTGCAGGCTATTAAAGCAGCCTGCTCTAGATTCCACAATTACAAGCCTCCTATAACTTTTGCTGTGGTTCAGAAGAGGCATCACACTAGATTGTTCCCATTCAAAATCGATCCTTCGTCGAATCAAAGTGAGGTTCTTGATGAAAATATTCCTCCCGGGACGGTTGTCGATTCTGTAATTACGCACCCGAAGGAGTTCGATTTCTATCTCTGCAGCCATTGGGGCGTTAAAGGAACAAGTAGGCCTACACATTACCATGTACTCTGTGATGAGAACCACTTCACTTCTGATGAACTACAAAAGCTAGTTTACAACTTATGCTACACTTATAACAGGTGCACCAAGCCTGTTTCACTAGTTCCTCCAGCATATTATGCTCATCTGGCCGCTTATCGAGGCAGACTTTACCTCGAACGATCAGATTATTCCATGGCTCATACTCGAGGCGTTAACACCGTCTCTCGAGCTGCCCCTCCAAAAACAATGCCTCTACCCAAACTTAGTGAAAATGTTAAGAAACTCATGTTTTACTGTTGATTTTTGTTGTAGTTTCTATCAAAGTATGATTAAATCAGAAGTTCTTCACTTCATAAATTATTGTCCTATTATTATGAGGGGCTCCATCAGGTTAGAGTAAAAAGAAAAGAAAAACAAACTTTTTAGAAGATATCATATTCATTAAAGCAATAAAGTGTTGTTACAGATGAGCAGAAGCTCCCCAAGCCTTTGGACGATCCAAATTGTCCAAACTGACCCCAGAAAAAGTCCAAACCTCTTACACTGACAGAGCAGCAGAAAGCTCCCAAAGCAAAAGACAGAAGGCAAAGAGAGAAGGGCAGTTTGGGGAAAAGAGAGGCACGAAAATATGAATAAAGAAGTTAAATGTAGCTCTGACAGTACAGACTCATGCAAAGCAATGCAATCCCGAAGAACAAAAAGCAGCAGAGAAAGAAGTGAAGTGTTCTGACCTTTTGGAGTTGCCATTTTGTCTTGGAAGGAAAGTAATATAACAATTTCTTTTTGTTCTTTAATTTAATTTTTATTTTATTTTATTTTATTTTATGTTATGTTATGTTATGGGGCTCTGTATGTATGGTTACAGCTTTCCATCACCATTAAGGACCATTCGTCAGCTCCACTTTCAAGTACCGCACGGCCTCTGAATCCGACGAGACACAAAATACTATAATTTATTTATTGAGCCCTTTTGAGCTCATTGTGGGACCCTCCCCCAATTCATACCTCCACCTTGCCCATCCCTCAAATTTTGGCATCATTCTTTCTTTCTTTTAGACGAACACGAATCTTCTCATTCCATTGGAGTTAATATTCCGATCATTCCCTAAATTAGCAGATGTGTAACTTCCATCACAATACTTTTCTACCCATCTAAAAAATGAGTGAAAGTTTCACTTATAATATGTATTACCTACTTTGACCCGTGTATTTATATCAGTCTCACAGTTTTAAAATGTATTTGTTATAGAAAGATTTTCACACCGTTTTAAGAGAGTAAAACCTGAGCCAAAACCAATTGAAATAGTAAAAATCCCATTTTAAAAATTCTTTGAAATGTTCTTGTATTTATAAACAATAAAAAATAGTTATAATTTATTTGGTTGAAGTTTCAACCATTACCGAAGTGTTTTATGTCAATTATATGTAATTATTATTCTACAATAGTAAGCAACTAAAAATATATAATATATATATATATTATTTAAAAAAAATGAAATGAATTTACACACAAACAATAATTTAATATTTTAGCATAATTTAATATTTTAAATTATAGATACACTAAAAAAATAATATTTTTCATAAATATCGTTATAGGTTTAGAGAACATGGTGTTGAAATTTGTGCAGAAGAAGAGTAAGAGTAGGTTGTCTTCTTCAACCCGCTCGCTAAGAGGTCCTTCCCCCAACTAACAGTCAAAATTTCTCGGAGCTCAGGTGAGGTTAAAAAGGGCAATCATGTCAACTCAAAACACGATATCGCAAAATCAAAATCAAAATCAAAATCAAAATCAGAAACAGAAACGAAAATCGAGGCGAATTTAGGTTAATAGTAGGAGTGAATGTAATAATACGTAACAAGATTCGTTAGTGTCGGTTATGGAACCTTATTCTGAAGGAGGCTTCAAATGCATCAGGCAGCAGCATAGGCATCAGCGTCAGCATGAGCATCGCGCCAACGGGCTATCCATTTCCGACATGACGTTTTCTTTTGTTGTGGCATAACATTGCGTCGGTTTTCAAGGAAGAGTCACGTTCTTCATTCAGACCTATCCAATCGACGCTTCGTCCTTTTCCTCTGCCTCTGCCTCTGCTCTGCTCTGCTCTGCGTTTGCCCCTTGATTTGATCGGACACACCTCTCTCTCTCTCTCTCTCTCTCTCTCTCTCTCTCTTATCTAACGCTCCCCCTCGCATTTCCTCCAAATCTCACACATCATCGCATCGCAATTCGCGCATCTCTTCCCACTTTCCTTTCATCTCTCTCTGTCAGATTTGGATCCACGCGCGCTCTTCCTCCTTTTCGTCTCTCTTCTTCTCGCAATGTACAGAGCATACGAGCCATGTATTTCGTCGTTCGTCGGCTTCGTTTTCTCTTATTTGGGACTCTGAATTGTGGGCTTTTGACCTGAAGCCCAAAACTAAATGTGATGGACCCATAATGGGCTTTCTTTCGTCGTTGATCTGCTTCGTTTTTTCTTATTTGGGCCTTCGAACTTTGGGCTTATGACCTGAAGCCCAAAAGTAAATGTGATGGATCGATAATAACTGGGCTACTACTCTTAGGACTACCAACCAACTGGGCTCAAGTTAACTGGGCTACTATTTAACTGGCCTACTATCTGAGCTTTAGTTAACTGGGCTAAGATTTGGGCTCAAATTAAATGGGCTACTATCTGGGCTGAAGTTAACTGGGCTACTCTTTGGGCTCAAATTAAGTAGGTTACTATGGGGGCTCAAGTAACTTGCTATTAATAGGGCTCAAGTTAACTGACTATTAATAGTTTTTCTTATTTGGGCCTTTGAATTGTGGGCTTTTTACCTGAAGCCCAAAAGTAAATAGCTGGGCCTGGCCCATGTTCGATGTGGATTAGAAGCCCACTTAATCCTATTGGGTAAGGGAATGGACCCACACAACGGTATTGTTCAGTAGGATGTCCAAAAATAAGCAAGTAAAATAAATGTGTTGCTGGAGAAGGCTATTAGAATTTGATACAAAAAGCTTACACAAGATTGATAAGGTTTCTAAATTATTGCCACTGAATCATAACTCACAACATCACATGGTTGAGAAATGGCAAAGCAAAAATGGGAAAGAAGAAGCGCTCTAAAGGCAATGGAAGAGGAAAGGTGGAAGCCGGACCTCATAAGTTGTTGTAATGTGGATGCCTGCCGGCTGCCGCTCATGTTTCAAGCACTAACAATTGCAGAAAAATGGTGTCCAAAATGAACAATACCCCAAATTTGGCCAAAATCCCACATCGCCTACCCCAACTTCATGCAGTTTTTCAAATCATTTCCAGCCACGTTTGAACAACAACAAAGAATTTGGTCGCCATTGTTTCTCGTATCCATGTTCAATCCATCAATCAATCTATGAAACTATCATCCAATTCGAATGAAAGAATACCAATTGATCCATCCAAAACAGAATCGTCTGATATCACCATACTTGAAGATCTGCAGCTGAAGTAAAAAACTGCATTCATCACAGAATCAGTAAGCACAACAAATGAATACATAACCACCAAAAGAGGGCCTTCCCAAATCCTCGAAGACCCTTCTCCATAGCTCAGTGTCTTAACCCTATGCTCAAACAATCCCTCCACAAACACTGTCCCAATTGTGGATCCCAGAAATATCAAAAGCCCCACTTGAGTTTGACCCCTAATAAGAACACACGACCTAAGCAATGCCCCTGGCCCTGCAACATCTTCCAATACACAGATAACAATCCCAATGTTGCAGATGATGACAGCATTAGCAAATATAACAGAGAACACAAGCCCCCCAATCACAGCAACAGATATAATAAGATCAGGCGAAAACCCCAATGCATAAAAAGTACTGCAAACAGCACCAAGCAGAACCAAGAACGTTGTAAGACACCCAACAATCGCAAGACACACAGAAACATATGTCGTGACAAGACGATTCCATATATTACGAACTAAAGCGAGGAACAGGCCTGCTTCGAACCTTCTTTTGGCGTATGTACAATCCACCGTATGAACAACAGCAGCTTTTGATAACAAAGAAAAGGTAACGAACAAAGGAAAGCACACTGCAGAGGAAAGAATCGACTCGGCAAATCTCTGGCATGAATGTTCGATCATGGGCATCAATGGGAGCCCACTGGACCTGGCTATTAATACCAATCGGATAGTCAGCATCTTGACAGTCGACTCATCGACTAACACATTGGATAAAAAGACGGCGGAAACAGGGCAAATAAGCAAAATGGCAATAACCACAAACGCAGTAGAATTGTAGCGGAGAATCCGAACCGTTTCCCTCAAGATCTCCAACGCGCTCATCGAGTGGAATTGATTGTCGGGTTCGATCCCGGAGTCAGAGGGTTTTGTTGACGCCACGGTCTGCAAACGCAAATCGTGGCATTCCTTGTCCGTCGGAGGAGTATCCCGATGGATTCCGGGAAAATCGACGGAAGAAGAGAATTCCATTTCCAGTTTCCAGACCCTAAATCCGGTGGCGCTAAAACAACAGAACCACCAGAAAGGGAAAGAACCCCATCGGAAAAAGCAGCGGCAATGGGCGGCGAATGGAAATTCAAGAAGGATCAGATCTGGGGAGGTGAGAAAAAGAGGAATTCAGAGAGAGAGAAGATTTCGGAGGGAAGAAAAAGAAGAAGAAGAAGAAGAAAAGAAGGGGAAGGGCGTGGTGTGGCTATGGAGAGGGAAAAGGGCTATTTCGGAGGGGATTTTGGGATCCAGACGTCAAATTCCGCGACCTTTCTTTAATCTGTCATCTGTGTTGCCTCTCTTTCGGGGACAGTCCTCCTCACAAGACATGCATCCGCCTCAAACAAAATTTATTCAAATTATTAATTCTTTTTTATTTCTTTTTTTATTTTTAAAAAAATAAGAGGGTCCAAATCTATTTTTTAAAATTGAATTATTAAACTTTTAAATATCAGAATCAATGCTTGCTTGTTGCTTGCAATTTGATTTTTCCTCTCCCATCTTCCTCTGCACGATAGATTCGATATTGCATTAAGAGACCTTGACCACGTTAGATTCGATATTGCATTAAGAGACCTTGACCCTGAGTAGAGGCAAGGTCGAGCCAAATGACTTAGCCTAGTGTAGAGGCAAGTCGGTTGTGTCGTAGACGATTGAATATGCATGTGCAGACGGCGTGTGTCGTCAAATAAACTTAGATTCTGCAAGAAAAGGTTCTCTATTGATTCAAACACTGTACCAGCAATGTCCAGTGAATCTAAACTTAGATTCTGCACTAGCAATGTTTGGTTGGTGAGGATAAACCTTGCCTAAGGTCCAATGAATCTACAAAGCTAGGGCGAAAAATATATATGAGGCTTGATTCCCCTTGAGGTTGGTCGTGAGCGTGTCAAGATCACGCAGCACTGTTAAAAAAGTTGGACCTCCCTGAAACTTCCCGACCAAGGTAAACATACAAACAAAGACGATGTTTAGTATACCATTCCTTGAAGACAGTTTTGTCTACAAAATGAAGTGTTGAAGGTGTCCATAGTTCATCAAATACGTCACCAATGATAAACAAGAATCCAATCGTTGGAACTAACACAACTTCAACAAAAGCAATCCAAGGAATTGGTTTATATCAAACAAAGCAAATCCGGGAATTGCAAGAAATAAACTAACAAATTCGAGTGTCGAGATTGGCATCGGCTAGCTCGAGTTTTACATTTTCCTATGTCTTCTGCCATGCCTTGATTCTGTGACTACATTTTCACTTTACAGAATAGGTTATTTGATTGGTGCTCGAATTCCTTGGCTGGAGAATCAAAGAATTATCGACTTTGCACCACATCGATATCGACACGAACATGTTCGGTGTGCTCATAATCAGGTATGTCTCATGTTAATCTGGTTAGAACATGATGCTTGCAGTTGAGAAATCCTCTCTTCCTGTTCCGAACCATACAAGAGGTTGTTCCAGCTTGTCGGTCTTTGAACAATCCTTGAAGGAACTCGGTCGCTGTCCTCTCCGCCCGAAGCTTCATATCCATCACTAGTCGACCTCGACAATGGAAGTCCCTTTTGAGCAGCAGCTACATTAGCTGCTAATAAGCCAGTGACTCTCTTAGACTCTTCAGCTCCTGAGGAGGATATTCTGAACGGATGGATGTCAGGCGACCCCAAACTGCTCTCCGGAGACGACGCAGCCATGGTCGAGCTCGACATTGCTCGGCTTGTTTGGAAAGCACTGCGTGCTTCAAGCTGAAGAGGACCAAGACTAGTTGATGTGCCAGAGAAACCTTTTTCAACAGCTTTTCCTGGAACATTTGTTAAGTGTTGCATAGGTAGATCAGATGGAAGTCGCACACGTTTATTCCCTCGCCTTCTATTATTTTCGAGTCGTGAAACGATTCGGCGACCACTACTGCCAAAACCGCTATCTGGTTCACGTTCAGAAGGTGTTGCTGATCTAACCACAGGCTGCAGAATTTTGGACTTCTTCCTTGCCTCTGCTGCAGCCTTTGAAACCTCATCACCATTTAGTCTTGCCAGAGTCCATGGACTGATCCTCACAGCAGCAGGGTTCTTTTTCTTGGTTGCTTCTTCGCTGACCGTCCTCTTTCCGAGCGAACTAACAGACCCCGTCTCCGGTGGAATCACATCAAACTGAAACACGAAAACAAAACGCATATTATCTTTCATAATTAGACACGTTCATTCTCCTAAAACGCGTCTTCTAAGAAGAGATTTTCACACCTTTATAAAGAATGTTTCGGAAAGAGAATTTTCTAGTTAAATTACCTGATCCTCGAGAAACAAGCGCGGGGGAGTGCACCATGCACCTCGGTGGAAATTCGAGAACGAGCTTGCGCTGCTTAGTCCAGTTAATGAGCTGACAACAGACATTTGAGGACTTTGTTGGCCACCACCTCCCTGCTGTTCTTGCTCTTGCTCCCTTAGAGCTATGATATAATCATATGTTGTAATTCCCTGTTTACAAATGTAGTTATGTAAGCAATTAATCCCAAATAATGACATCCCCCAAATATATCCCTTCACTCGAGCAACACCCGTTACGTATCGCCATCAGCCTCATGATTTTAAACGCGTCTACTAGGAAGAGGTTTCCACACGCTTATAAGGAATGTTTCGTTCCCCTCTCCAACCAATGTGGGATCTCACGATCCACTCCCTTTTTGGCCAATGTCCTCGCTAACACACCGCTTAGTGTTTGGCTTTGATACCATTTGTGACAGCCCAAGCTCACTGATATTATCCTCTTTGGTCTTTCCTTTTAAAACGCGTCTGCTAGGGAGAGGTTTCCACACGCTTATAAAGAATGTTTCGTTCCCCTCTCCGATGTGAGATCTCACAAAAAAACGAAATATGTATTTGCTATACTTGCCTTCTTTATGAGAAGGATGTGGAAAAAGAAGAGTTGAGCCAGTGGCAATGTTGCTATCATAGCCAAGATCGTACAAACCGCCTGAAAACGAAGGGATCAGTTTAGATTGTTGCTCAAGTTTAGCCAAATAGAGAAGCCAGGGAATGGTCAGAGCCACTTACCACTACAATAATGAAAGGTGCCAAAGAAAAACTGCTACCCAACTTGGAGGAGATTTCCACAGAGAACCGTTTCTTCTCGACAAAACAGCAGATGAGCACAAGGATTCCGCTGGACCATTGTACAATAAGCTGCAATCTCAAGCCCAAGGTGCACAAACCATGTATAAACCTGTCAATAACTAATTGAAAAGAAACTGAGATGAAAATAAATCCTTACTCTGGTTGGATGGTCTTGGGGTGCTGTCATGTTGCTACGAGGGATTACAGCATATGATTGGTAACAAGAAATCGTTATTATCTATCTATGGCTGAGAGGCATAGCTCTTCCAAAGCTCATCATATCACAAAAACTATCTGTTATCTAAGGGCCGAGGTTTTTGAAAGATCCCACATTGGATGGAGAAGGGAACGAGACATTTCTTATAAGGGTGTGGAAACCTATTCCTAGTAGATGTGTTTTAAAACCGTGAGCCTAACGGCGATACAATGGGTGTTACAAATGGTTTTAGAGCTAGACACTGGGCGGTGTGCCAGTGAGAAGGCTGGACCACTAAGGGGGTGGAGATTGTGAGATCCCACATCGAAATATTTCTTATAAGGGTGCGGAAACCTCGTCCTAGTATACTCGTTTTAAAACCATGAGGCTGACGACGATATGTAACGGGCCGAAGTAGCGGTGGACTTGGGCTGTTACAACTGGTATGAGAGCCAGACACCCCAACGAGGACGTTGGGCCCCTAAGGGGGGTAGATTGTGAGAACTCACAACATTCCTTATAAGGGTGTGGAAAACTCTCCCTAGTAGATGCATTTTAAAACTCGTGAGACTAACGACGATACGTAATGGGTCAAAGCGGACAGTTACAAAGGTAAGAACATAGAGGAGGATTGAACTTACCAAGAGGAGAGAGGTAACCATGAGGGTGAAAAATTGTCGATAGTTCCTTCTGCCAATGCAGTTGTTAAGCCACTGCAGAACCACAAGTAAACAAATTGTAAGAACAATCAGTGGCACTTGATTGAGTAAGGAAAGGAGGTGAAAATTCAGACATTTTGTTACCCTGCAGTGGTGATCAAACCGATCAACGCACTTGTCACAAACTCTGCAGTGCTTGCTGTACTTGAAAACCTGAACAACAACATAGCTTAGATCACTCAAACAATCCACTTGAAAATACAGCTCTTTTAACAGTTAAATCACCTCAACTTCACACAAACTGCAGTAAAACATGCCATCTTCACTCATGTTTTGGTCGGACGGTTCCTCGTTCGAACCCGAACAATTGCATACATATGCACAAGGGAAGCACACCAACGAAAGACATGACAGCTTCTTTGATGCAGGGCTGTCCTTTGAATTTGCATCTTTATCCACAGAGGCAGCAGCATTGGGATCATGCGTGGATTCGCCACCGAGTTTAGAACTTTTTTGCTGAGAACACTTCCCTTCATCAGGAACATCGACATACTTTTTGGATTTGAACACTCCCGTGTCTGCCGGGTCAGCTACCGCACACCAAATATATAGACCAAACACACATGTAATCTAGATCACAAAGAACAGAACATGGATTGAAACATCAAATATCATACACAAATGACGAAATGAGGGATAGATCTGAGTGGTGATGGCTTACAAGAGGAGTATATAGTCCAATCATAACATACTGAAAAATCTTGTTCCCAACAAAAGGAGCAAAGAAGACATAAAAAGCAAACCCCAGAGCTAGAAACACAGAAACTGCAACAACCTTAAACAAGAATCACAGAATGAATTAGTTGCATAGTAGAACGCAAAAAGAAAAGGGTGAGGGGAAAATAGAAACCTGGAGAGGATGGTAAGGAAGTTGCCATCCATGCTTCCTCATTGGAGACACCCAGAAGAAGAACACGAAGAACACGAAGAACAGGATGGGCTTCAGATTACGAACCCCTTCCCCACAGAAACTACAAAGATTTGCTAGTGAAGTTTAGTCATATTTGGGATTCGAACCCGTGAAGAGGGAGAGAAGAGAAGGGTGGGTTTTGGTCTTGAAGCCTATAATTGCATCGAAACCTCCCTTTTACTTTAAAATCTCTTGGTTTCTGGCGTTACCCTTTTTCCCTGGGCAAATCATGTGTCACTGAAGACAAAGAGAAGGCATTGCCATTTACAATGAAACCGCAGCTCAGTAACCCAATTTCCCTCTAAACATCTCTTCAAATCAGATCAACAAAGCAAACAATTACTCCTTTCACTATTTTTGAAGCCACTTCGACAAAACATTAAATG